ATCAGCAGCTGTCTGGTGAGTAAGTGAAGCCTACAATTGTTTTCTTGGGGTCTCTTAATTAGTTAGCTTTCCTTATTTGACCATCTCTTTATTTTACCCACCTTTTCAGTTATGTTTGAACTTGTGGCAAGACAGTTATGTCAGGTTAAGACTTGGTCTTCTGGTATACTGTGATCCATGGGTTCATGTACACACCTGGCCTATGGCCTTTTTAAAATTATTGTATCCTGTCCCCAGAGGGACCTGACATCCATCATTCAGGTACAGACTTGCACAAGCCCCACCTCCCTTGTCTCCTCTGTTGCTGAGACTGTGCTTGCACCACAAAGCCCAGGCCAGGCCAGTAGAGAGTCCAGACATCTAAATTGGACTCTGCACTGTTCTATAATATCTATGTCCTTTGTGACTTTACTTAGAGAGTGTCAGTAGACAGGACAGTCTTTTGCAGCATTTTATTGCACGTCTGGATTGGACAGGCCTCACTTTAATGTAAAACTGAGGTACAGAACACAGGTGAGGCCAGGCCAGCCTCAGACCTGGGTGTGCACTCTCAAGCCCTAATAGGTATCAAACCGGGCTGAGGCTGACCTGCTTCTTCAAAGATTTACATAAAAATAGTTGATCTTGGTAAATTGAGAAGATGGCTGTTAGGTGACAGGCACAGGCATCCCTCTTCAACATGTACCCAAAGGGAAATCCCATGAGAAGGAAATCCCATGAGAAAGAAATCCTGGGCCCCCTGGAAGCCATAGAAACAACAACCTCAAAACTAAGTAGACCACGTTCTTTCCAAGTTGGACTCTATGGGATGGATGGAGCAAGGGGAGGAAGGAGTGTGCCAGGCACAAGGAGTTTGGCAACATTTGCTGGATGCTATTGGCAGCCTTCTCAGGAGCTGCCACTGCTGCTATACCCCCTCTTTACAACTGAGCAGCAGCCAGAGCAGCTTCTGTGCACTTCCTCATCCCTGCAGTGTGCACTTTTGACACTCATCCTGGAGCACTCTCTTCCCTGTTCCTGCTTCCCCAGCCCAGCCACAGCTCCTACCTCTACAGCCTCCAGTGGCCATGCCCAGATAGCAGACTCCACCAGCAGTTCGGTGCAGAAGCCCCCAAAACCCACTCCACATGGAGCTTCCTCCCTCTCCCTCCTGTTACTGGTGATCAGCGCATCTTCTCCCAAGCATCATATTATCTCCCCCCTTTCTTTTCTTCCTCTTATGTGCCTACTGCCACAAGTCCCCACCCGCCAAGAAACACTTTAAAATTTTCTCTTTGGACTCGCATGCATCCCTGCTCTGATGGCTTGTGTATCCCCACTGTGAACCCCTACATGCCCATCTCCACATGTCCCCACCCAGGTAGCACTTTCTTATCTTTATGTCTAATTCCTCCTCTGCTCCCCT